CCTTTTGTCCTTTGCTCTCTGGGTTGGTGTCACTATTCTGGCTCCTATCACACCTCGTCCTGCCACCATAGGGATTAAACAAGTTATTACGTGCAAAGTGTGTAGATCAGTGCCAAGCACATCAATGTTATCCAGTGTCTGTTACTATTGGTTGTTAGTAGTGCTATGAAATGATTACACGAGAAACAGCATATTAGCACAGTTCCTAACTATCTAAAAAATTGACAATCATTTTTATAAAACAACCAATCAATACTCTCAAAAGTGTCAAGGTCACTGAAAGACAAAGAAATATTAAAAGACTCATAAGTCAGAAAATACTGAGGAGATATGACAACTAAATACACTTTGAGATCACGGATTGGATTCTGGAACAAACAAGTGACATTAGTATAAAGATAGGTGAAATTCCAATAAGGTCATGAGTTAGCTAAATTCCCTGGTTTTGATAATTGTACTGTGGTTATGTAAAGGGTTAATATTGGGGGAAGCCAAGGGGAGGGTAGATTCTCTTTAGTATTCTTGCAACTTTTCTATAAGTCTAAAGTTATTTCAAAGTAAGAAATAATAATAAAGGGAGAGAAAGAAACAAATCGACACAGAAATGACCAACTAACAGACAACTATGTAGCTACCTAAAAAGCTATAAAGTATCTAAAGGAAAACACAAATATATGAGCAGAAAAGTGAGAAGACATTAAAAAAAAAGGTCCAAATAGAACAACTAGAACCAAAAATTATAATATTTGAAATAAAAAATTCACTACTGGAGGTTAATGGAAAATGAAATCCTATATCCAAAATAAACTTGAAAATACATTAAGAGAAATCGCTGTCTACAAATGGAACAAGGAATAAAAAATCAGAAGTTCCATGTCAGGACTGCTATCAAGAGGCCCAGTGTACATGTAACTGGGGTCCCAGAAACCGAGGAAGTGGAGAGGAAGGAGGGAAAATAACTGAAAAATATCTGAAGAAATGTTGGTCAGAAGTTTTCCAAATTTGTTGAAAACTATAAACTCAAAAGATACAAGAAGCTTAACTGACTCCCAAAGAATATCAAGAAAACCACACCAACATGCTAGAAACTGTTAGGATACACTATAGGAAGTAGGAGAAATATAAGAATTAAAACAGATGTCTTATCAGACATGATGCAAGCCAGAAGAAAATGGTTCTTCAAATGGATAAAAGGAATTGGTAAGCTTTGCTTGAGCTAATGAAGAAAACCAAAAAGACACAAATGACAAATATCAGGTATGAAAAAAGAAACATCGTTATGGAAACACAAACAGTAAGAGGATAATATAAAATATGCTCTTCCTGTTACTATATTATGACAATATTTATGCCAAGAAATTTGACAACTGACATGAAATACAGACATTTCTTAAAACATATAAATTACCAAAACTGGCGCAAGAAAAAGGAGAAGACTGGAATAGCTCTATTTTGACTACAAAAATTGGAATAGTAATTAAAAACTTTCCCAGAAAGAAAATTACTGGCCCAAATGGCTTTGAAACAGTTTCTTCCTCTAACAGCTGCTCCTATAAACCTGACAAATCTGCAACAGTACTAATCATTGTCCTGCTAATCTGTTCTTTATTTCTGCATGTTAGCTTCCAGCAAGTTTTCATGCTAAGAACAAAAGCAGAATATACCCCAAAGCCCTGGCCCCTGCAGCCAAAAGGATGCCACTGAGATCCAAAGAACCCGAATTACAACATACCTCTGGCCCATAAGACTAACTGAATATACACGTGCAAGTCTCTCCCGACACTCTCCACACTCCCCCGACTACTTATGTTCTTCCCCTATTTAATCGAACCCTCAGTACCATCTTCACAAGTTAATTCTGCTCAACACATAAGGTAAGAAACAAAATGAATCTCACACAATGTCTTCAAAAGATAGGTTATGTAAAGGTATGTCCCCACTCATTTTATAAGGCTGGTTTTACTGATATCAAAATCAAATAAAATCATTACAACCAATACAAAGCAATATTTATTAACCATACAAATCAATATTTATTAACAGAAGATATAAAAATCCATAACAAAATATTAGTAATAAAAACCAACTGTTAATGAAAAGAATAGTGCACTATGACCAAATAGGGTCTAGTCTAGGAATGCAAGGTTAGTTTAACATTAAACAATCATTATGGGGCTGGGGTTGTGGCTCAGCGGTAGAGCACTCGCCTAGCACGTGCAAGGCCCTGTGTTCGATCCTTAGCACCACATAAAAATAAATAAAATAAAGGTATTGTGTCCAACTACAACTAAAAAGTAAATTTAAAAAATCATTATAATTCAAATATTAAAAGGCACTTCTTTATTAAAGGAAAACTGCCAGGCAGGGTAGCACATGACTATAATCCCAGCAATTTGGGAGGCTGAGGCGGGATGATCACATGTTCCAAGTTAGCCTCAGCAACTTAGCAAGGCCTTAAACAACTTAGTGAGAACCTGTCTCAAAAAAAAAAAAAATTAAAAGAGCTGAGGATATGGCTCAGTAGTAACCACCCCTTCCCCCATTCAATCCCTAGTATCAAAAAGGGGAAAATTCTGATCATCTCAATAGATATGAAAATTATTTGATGAAAGTCAATAACTAGGATACAAACTCTCATACTGGTTAGAATAGAAAAAAGCTTCTTTACCCTATAAAGTGAATCTACATCACCATCTAAAGTGAATCTACTATCACACATATACGTAGCTGTTGATAAACAGTTAGCTCTAGAAATGTTGATATGAGTACATAGTTATATATGTACGCATGCACACACATACTTTCTGGCTTTGGACACTAAGCAATGTTGTACCAGTAATGGCACAGCTACTGCCTAGATGTTGGTTTCTAAACACCATTCTCCAATTAAAGGAATAGGGCTCCTTGGAAAAAAGGCTGGGCTTTGGGTAGGGAAAGTGCAAAAAGAGCCTGGAATTCCCTGCTGCAGAAATAAGAAAGTACTAAAGAACAACAACAACAACAAAAAACATTAAAAAGATGTAGGAGCAAGCTTAAAGGGTCTCCTTCTAGCCATTTTGGAACATTATGAGCATCAAAATTACTACTACTATTAGTACTACTACTACTATAATTCCCTAGATAAAATGAAAATCTAAAAATTCATATTGATATAAAATCATTAATGAATAAATAAGTGGAGAAGGGAAGCCTCTTCATTACCAAAGGATGCCAACCAATGCAGAAGGCATGCTAGATTTAGAAAAATCATTGGTAGATCCTAAAAATAGTGAGTCAACATTTGATGTAGAATAGGATAGAGTTTCAGGATATTTACCCCCAAATACTAATTAATTACAAAGATAATCAATAATAATTTACAGTGAATAAGCTTATGCACACCACTCTGAGTGAGGAAGTCAACAAGATTGGTATGGGGCAAACTGTGACTCCTGATAGTACAGTAAGAAAGACACGACACTCCTTCTGTGGGTGTCTCAAGTGTATAGTTTGGATTTAATCAAGAGGAAAGTTAGACAACCCCAAAGTGAGAAATATTATACCAAAAAAGTGGCTTGTATTCTTAAAAAATGTCAAATAAGACAAAGGAACAGGTAAGAAATTCTTCCTGTTTAAAGAAAGCTACGGTAAACAACAATAGAAAAGACTCCAGTGCTAGGCAATTTTACCTCTGATAATCTTTTCAGAAATAGAAACAACCATGGAAATCCTCAAAAGATTAAGAATGGAACCATCTAACGAAGTGGCTAAAACACTTCTCGATGTCTTTGCATAACTATTAAAACCAGCATCCTTGAGAGACACATGCATACCCATGTTTATCACAGCACAATTCACACTAGCCAAGTATGGAATCAATCTAGGTGTCCGCCAACAGATGACTGGACAAAGAAAATGTGGTGCTTATAACACAAAGGAGAGTTATTTGGTTATAAAGAAACACAATTATGTCATTTTCAGGAAGAAGGTTGGAACTGGAGAGCATTATATTAAGCAAAATTACATTAAGCCAGACACAGAAAGTCAAGGGTCATGTTTTCTCTCATATATGGAAGCTTGAGATAAAAATGTAAAAAAAAAGGAGATCTTATGAAAATAGAGTAGATAGAGGCAGGGGCTCAGGAGAAGAGAGGAGGAGAGGAAAGGGGAGTTAGTAGGGAATTAACCCGATCAGATTATATGTATGTACAAATGTCCCATCCACCATTTGTTAGAGTGCAAATTTCTGACAACTTTTTTGGAATATATTTCCATAAGTATATATTTGAAAAAACTTATTTTTTGAACCAGTAAACTCACATCTAAAAATCTATTCTAAGGAAGCAATAAAATATCTAAACAAATATTTACATACAATCTGATTCTTCAAAACATGAACATATGTAAAGAAATGTAAGGATATTTATTAAATAATCAAATGTTGAATAATTAAAAAGGATATTGTCATTTAAAAATCATGTTTGTGAAAAATATCTAGTAGCCTGGGAAAAATCTCACAAAATTATGTTACAAAAATTGAGGTTATAGGGGCTGGGGTTGTAGCTCAGCGGTAGAGGGCTTGCCTTGCACATGTGAGGACCTGGGTTTGATCCTCAGCACAACATAAAAATAAATACGTAAGTAAAAATAAAAAAGTAGCAATTTACCTGACAGTTTTGTTAGCTAGTTTCTCTCAGGATACTGAAAACCATGTTGTTAAAGCTACTGTGTAGCAAAATTACATAAAATAACAACAACTCAAATATTGTCATAGGTCAGTTAGCAGAGGGCACTGTGATGCTACATGTTAAATTCTGTTCACTTGATTACTTTCTCAAAGACACCAAAGGCCACTGTCATGAAACCACACAATAACTTTCCCGTATTTTGTTCAGAGACACAAATATCAAATCCTAAAAAATGTTCAAGAGAACCTGAACATTGCCATGTTTCTCCAAAAGGTGGTAATCAAGGATCAGGAAGTACCGCGGCATGGAGGAAGAATGAAAATGGAACACATAAAAAGAAAAGATGCTTTTTGCTTTATTAGGCTTTATTTTTTAGAGTTTTGAAGGTTTCCAATTTTTTTAGAATTTTTTGCACCAAAAAAGGCATCAATACTTTTCATTCCACTCTTGTCAACTTTAGCCAAAGCCTTCTGAGCTGCAGTCATTTTGCTTGTTTTCTGTTTTTGAAAATAAGAGAGAAATATATGTTATGAATATAACATTAGTAAGTCATGCATGCAAATCAGACAATATTGTGTATGTCTCAAGGTTCGTCAAGGGAGGAAAGCTCTGCTATTAACATGCTTCCCAAGAGAATGAATAAAATTTGGATATCTATTCATAATTCAGACACAGAATATGTTAAGATAAGACTGCTGCCTTCTAAGGAGTGGACGGTTACATCCAATGATCTACTGCAAGGGGAATAATTCTGGAGGGTGCATTAGTGCAATAACACAAACAATAGAACTGACACAGGCAGAGATTGTCAGAGGAAGGAATTACAGCCTTATATTACCACATGATGAATAATTCACATTAACTTACCATCTGATTTTATTCATTTGCTCTATGGGAAACCAAGCACAATCTATTATATTCAAAAGATGACCTGTATTACAAAACATCCACTGGTCTTCAACTAGTACTGAAAAGTACTTCTTCAACAAAGAAATACTCTCCAAAAAGCTGACTCCAAATAACTCTGCCCTTTAAATTTTTCTCTCTTTCGTGGTTACTGTATTGTTCTCCCCTTTCACCTGACCTATGTCCTTTAAAAAGCTCTAGAAGATGGTAAATAGCAGCTAATTTTACTGCAATGCATCAAAATTTGTTGAAAAGAAGTATAAATAATGGGAACCAGTAAAGAAAAAAAAATCATCTATCTCCCTGGAACTGTAAGATAAGTTCAAAGGCACAGCATATGATTCCTGCAATCTGGCTTCCCACGTTCTATCACACATCACATAGGAGGCTTAATTCTTGACTGGATAGTGAAAAGTGGCCATCTCATCCAGACAAGTTGTTCTGGGTATTTATGCCTTAATAAGTGACACATAAACTCTAAGGGGACTATCCATTGTTAAAATCTAAATGAAAGTTAAACATAGAAACAATAGGGAAAAGGAAACATACATTCTTCAGAAAAAACTTAAAACAACTAAAAAATCAAATGAAAAGGTTAAAAACATTCTGGAAAATTTATCTGTACCCTGTGTCATAAAAAGTGTTAATAATCTCAATTTAGAATAAGTTCTTACAAATCAACAGAAAACATTATTATTCCAACATGAAAACAGGAAAGGGACACAACTGACCTTTGTAAAAATTGTAAATTAACGATAAACAATTGGGAAAACAAGTCTTTCCAGTTAAAGAAACTTGACAGGCAAATATTTTCAAAATAAAAATAATGCTATCCAGAATGCTAGATAAACAGTCATTGGCAACCATGTTTGGGATTATAGATTTTTGTTACATCTTTAGAAAACAATTTAGCTATATATTTTATGAAAGAGTTCATGTTCTCTAAGCATTTACTCTTAGTTTTAAATTGTGTCTCATAAAATAAACTGATATAGACTGTAAATGTCTATCACTTCATTAAAACAAACAAAACTCCTGAAATTTAAAAGCCAGAAGTAACCCATAAATACAAGACCAGGGGATGGATTACATTATATTCCATATGATGAAGTAAATTAACACTCATGATTGGATATGAAAGGATGATCAAAACTTCAAAGAGTGTTTAATGATATGTGAACATTTTCACAACACAATGATAAATGAAAAGGGCAGAACCAAAAACTATGTAAGCATTATAATGCCAATTTTAAAAGCTACATGTTATTTATAATGCATGTGTCAGATAAAACTTAGTACGAGATGTTACCCAAATAACATTTATGGGTAAATGCTGAATGGTTGAGTTATTAAAAATTTTTGTTATCATAATTTCTGGGAAGATTCTGGGCAGTAAGATTGACCAAAAATTTACCTGTAGAGGCTTCTTCCCTTACCACCCATTGCTCTATGAACACATGGCTAAGTGTAGGCACATTCTTGCCAAGCATATTGTTCTTCTCTGTTTTGTAAGAAGTTTAAATTGCTTAACATTTTCATTGTCATGCACAGTTTTGAATAAATTAAGCCACAGAGATGCAAATTAATAATTTTCCATATTCAAAAACTAATCACAATCAAGTGTGCAATTGTTTCTGATGTCTATACAGGTCACCCATTGCAAATGTATAATATGTCACTACACCTGGACACGTACCTTTTCAGTCTTGAAATCTTTTGTGTTAAACTTAGTGTAATCTTCTTTTGCTTCTACAGGCTCATCTGATAATTTTAGTTTCTGCAATGTTAGAGCAGTGAAGTGGTGTCAAATGTCACCTTGCCACTTATATGATGCATTAAAAACAAACAAATGTGCAATTTGGACTCACACTGGACAAATGGAGCATGGACCTGGCAATGGATTTGCTTTTTACAAACTTCCTACATTTTGACAACTGTCTAGTGAATTAAGCCACGTACCACTTCCAAGAAGTAGCTGGGGTGATGGGATTAGGTAGATACAAGACTCAATCTCTCATCCTGTGTAGCAATAGAAGCAAACTCTCATTTTGTGTGTGCCAGGTACAGTGAGAACCTAGGTGGCATAAGACTTCAAGGACAGTCTGGGGCTAAATACAATGCATGGATGTCAAAGACAAGAATTCCTTTAAAATGGATCAGACATCCAATTGTAACTAGGCTTCTGTCTCCTCCTAGGCTGATTATTATCCACTGAGGAATACAGGAGCAGTATTATTCTATTATTACCATAGTTGCATAGCTTTATCTCCTTACTTCCTTTCAATTTAATTATCTTATCCACACAAGAACAACTGCACAACAAGCAGCAGGAGAGGGAAGCGAAATGAATAGCTTTAGAGTCTGCTAGAGGATGTGGGGTGAGATTTCTATTTTTATACAAGTGTTCTTCCCATTAGGTCCAATGCAGCTAAGCTGAACCTTCCCTAAATATTTTTGCCTTTCACATGGGTGTTTTGCAGCAATGCGTGTGAAAATTCTGTCAGGAGCTAGACTGTGACCTTAATGACCATTAAAAAAAAAAAAAAAGAAGAAGAAGAAAAGAAAGCATGTCATGCTTATGGTAAAAGGTGCAAAGCTGGGCAGACAAGTCATGTTTGACATGGTGGATTGACTGTACAAGACCACTGCATGTCTTCAAGCTCTTTGTGGAGATACCATATGGGTACAAGCCAACATGGTTCTCCCCTAGGCAAACAGACTTATCATCAGCTTCATTCTTCACATCCCTGCTTTTCCTAAGCAATGAACTGTATTAGTTTAGTGCTAACATATGCCACCACATGAACCACACAGGGGGGTAAAACTAAACGAAATTCTTAAATTCTTTGCTGTATGTGATCAGATGAGCATCCTGAGACTATATCACATACTGTGGGAAAATCTTCTCTTGACCACACAGCAACCTAAAGCAAATCAGCTGTCAAAAGCAAGACCACTGATTCTCAGCAGAAGGAAGAACAGGAACAAAGACCCTGAGGGGACTCAACAAATGACAGACTTGAGGGACCCAGTGAACAGTGGCTGCTTTTGAGATTGCAGCTGCAGGATGAGGTGGGAGAGCTGAGGGAAACCCCTGAGGTGCAACCAGTGAGTCAGCAGTCACCAGGTGAAACCCAGAAGTACTGGTTCTTGGAATAAGAGGATTGATCAAAGAAACGGTGTGCACCAGGGAGGAGAGCTCCTCTGTCGAGCTAAGCAAACCCTCATGATTCAAAAAGTGCAGACTCAGGCAAACATGGAGTCTTGGCAGAAAGGAGATTTTGAGTCTGCAAAGGGAGCCAGTATGGGGATGGGGTTGCCCCAGAATTTCAGTGACATCTGGGAAAGGGGCTTCATTGTCCAGATGAACTATGCCAGAGATCACAACTTCTGTGTTTTTTTTCTGTCTTCATAACCCAATGGCCACTGCTTTTCTTTCACTGGGTCAGCGGGCACCTACCTTGAGTCTCAAGCTGGGATCAGGAGGGAGACTGTGGCACTGACCTGCTGAAAGCTCTGAGAAGCACAAGGTGGAGCAGTGTTCCCTTTGAAATTGGTGTCTAAGCTGGGTGACAAGAGGCAAACCGGTGGGGTGTGGATTGGAGATGAGATTCAGAATGGAAGAGATGAGACTGGGTCTGGTGAAAAGCTTGCTGCTTACAGCACACCCCAGCACCCCCAAAGTCGCCACTGTAAGCTGGACACTTTCACCCACAAACACACACACACACATTTTGAGACATTCAGGATGTGCAGTGCCAGATAATCCAGACCAGTTCACACACATACTGTAGCCAAGCCCATCCTTTCCTCTGAGACAAAAACCAGGGCTACGTAAATTTAGCTCTGAGAACACTACGCTTCCTCAATGTTTGCTTGCTGGTAGGCAAGGAGAGGCGGAGCCCAGCATACAGGTTGGGGCTCCTTGAGCCAGAGTTGAGAAGGAACCAACTGAATGGCCAACGGGAACTGTGAAAAACTTTAATCTTTTTATATTTATTTTTACATTCACTTTCTTGGTCAATTTTGTTGTTATCCATTATTGGGTTTTTATAGTTCTAACTTTAAATATTTTTATCAATGAATTAGATTTGTTCTCAATCTCTTCTTTATCATTTTAATTTTCTTCCTTTCTCTTTTTTTCTTTCTTTCTCTCATTTCTTCTTTTCATCCCCATTTTTAATTGTTCTTTTTAGATATACCTGACAATAGAGTGTATTTTCACATATGATATATGCATGGAGTATATCCTAAGTAGGATCCCATTCTTGTGGTTGCACATGATGTGGAGAGTCACTGTGGTGTATTCATATATGAACATTGGAAAGTAATGTCTGATTCATTCCCCTGTCTTCATATTCCCTTTGAAACTGGTGGTCTAAGCTTCTTAATTAGGGACAAACAGGTTGGGTGTGTATTTGGGATGGGAATCAGAACAAGAGAGATGAGATTGAGTCTGGTAAAAAGTTTGCTTTTCTTCATTAACCTTTGTCTAATCCACTGAACTTGAAGTCCCTCCCCCCACCCCCATTGTGAGTTAGCATCCATATATCAAAGAGAACATTCAACATTTGTTTTTTGGGGACTTGCTATTCACTTAGCATGATAGTCTCTAGATCCATCCATTTACTGGTAAAAGTCATTTTTTTTTTGATAATTGAGTAATATTCCATTATATAGGGTATTCCACATTTTCTTTATCCATTCATCTGTTAAAGGGCACCTAGGTTAGTTCTATAGCTTAGCTATTATGAATTGAACTGCTATAAATGTTGATGTGGATGTGTCACCGAAGTATGCTGATTTTAAATTCTTTGGCTCTATACCGAGGAGTGGTATCCATTCCCAGTTTCCTGCTTTCTTCCATACTGCTTTCTTCCCATAATGGTTGTACAAATTTCCAGTCCCACCAGCAATGTATGAGTATACTCTTTCCCCCACATCCTCACCAACAATTATTGCTGTTTGTATTCTTGACCAATGCCATTCTGTCTGGAGTGAGATGAAATCTCAGTATGGTTTTATTTTACATTTCTCTACTTGCTCGAGATGTTGAACATTTTTTTTCATAAATTGTTGGCCATTAGTATTTCTTCGGTAAAGTACCTCTTCAGTTTATTTGTCCATTAATTGATTGGGTTATTTGTGGGGATTTTTGGTGGTAACTTTTTAGAGTTCTTAATATATAGATGTTAATGTTCTGAGAGGCAGGTGGCAAAGATTTTCTCCCATTCTGTAGGTTCTCTCTGCACACTCTTGATTGTTTCCTCTGCTGTGAATAAGTTTTCTAGTTTGATACCATCCCATTTATTGATTCTTTACTTCTTGAGCTTTAGGAGTCTTGTTGAGGAAGTCAGTTCCTACATCAGCATAACAGAATATTGGGCCTACATTTTCTTCTATTAGGTTCAGGGTCTCTGATCTAATGCTTATGCCCTTGATCCACTTTGAGTTTTGTGCAGGATGAGAGAGAGAGGTTAAATTTCATTCTGTTTCATATGGATTTCCACTTTTTCCAGCACCATTTTTTGAAGAGACTATCTTTTTTTCCAATGTATGTTTATGGTGCCTTTGTCTAATGATACCTGAATTTATATATATAGGTTTGTCTCTGTCTTCTATTCTGTTCCACTGATCTTCATGTATGTTTTTTGTGCGAAATCATGCTGTTTTGACTACTATAGCTCTGTAGTATAATTTAAGGTCTCGTATTGTGATGTCTTCTGTTTCACTTTTCTTGCTAAGGATTGCTTTCACTATTCTCGGCCTCTTATCTTTCTAAATGAATTTCATGACTGCCTTTTTTATTTCTATGAAGAACATCATTGGAATTTTATAGGAATTGCATTAAATCTATATAGCACTTTTGGTAGTATGGCCATTTTGACAATATTTATTCTAACCACGAATATGGGAGATCTTTCCATCTTCTAAGGTCTCAATTTCTTTCTTTACTTTTAATAGTGGTCTTTCACCTCTTTTGCTAGATAGATTCCCAAATATTTTATTTTCTGAAGCTATTGTGAATGGGATAGTTTTCCTAAATTCTCTTTTGGTTGATTCATCATTAGTATAGGAATGCAATTGACTTATAGGTGTTAATCTTATATTCTGCTACATTTGTTTATGAGTTCTAGGAAGTTTTGG